TTTTAATTTATATAATATTTATATTACAGCAGTTGCCAGTGCTGCATTTTTTAAAGGGTTATTGAATATCCGGACCATTCTTCTCCATTTGCCGATATGAGTTATTAATACTAATATTAAATAATATTAATGCTTGAAAATCTATATAATCACGGTGATATAGATATAGGCTATAGTATTCAATGAAATTGTTAGACATTTTGCTGTAGGGTATTTTGTGGAGGTGTCATTAAATGAACAACATGAGCTTTTACTTTGCTAACTCAGTTTTTATTCCTTTCCAGAATCCTCAGGACAGCACTGATTTTCCAAACTCTTCTGAGCTGCGCATGTCCCCATTCTCCCTCTGAATACATAAATATGTTCTTTATACTCTGTGACTGTTTGTCAGTCTTTGGATTGAATAAAAACAAACTGTTGGGAACAGCTGAAAGACATTCAGTATACTGAAAATGAACATCAAACGTCACCCTAGTTATAGTTACGTTGTTGTATGCAAACATAAAACTGAATCGTCTCTTGGAGCATTGGGTTTACTGACCTTTAAACACTTCATAGTGTCCCTGAAGTAATTTTAATTTCTCATCCATGTGTCCCATCGGCGAGTTTGTTGCAAAACATGAGAACTTGAATAAAATGAAGAAGTATGAGATTTTCCATTCTCTTGATATAAGCTGATCTTGCATTTGAGGCAACAGCATTGATAGGATATTGATAGGTGGATATCACTCCTGGATATCTGCTTTTAGTAGCATATGAATAATCTTGCAAAGGAACAAGTAATAGGTTTATTCCATGCTGTAGCCTGAAGAAGGCTCCACGGCCGAAACGTTGTGTTCTTTCTTCTTTTTTTCAGCATGGAATAAACCTATTACTTGTTCCTTTGCAGCCTACACATGTTGACGCAGCTACCCACCTAAACTATAAGACTAATCTTCAAGAATTAATTCTGGGCCCTTAAATTAAGTTTTATCATTGGTTACTTTAAGGTTACCGTACAAACCTGGGGTTTTGGACTGACCTGGGGCTGTGGTAGTCATGTGTCTCTAATACAATATATGCTTGTGTGTGTGTTTATGTGGGATTATTTGAAAATTTGGAAAACAAATGTACTATGATAAGCGCTCTTAGTTTGTTATTGGCTAAGTGTGGATGTCCGTTTCTTTTCCCTAACAGACGTTTTAGGAGAAAGAAAGCTAAAGAAGTAGAAATTAAAGGAATCCGCTCGTTCCTGGTTTAATACTGATGGATGAAATTTAACACTGTGCAACCTTGCATGGTTCCTTATATTATTTGCTTTTGGGCTTTAGTAACTTCTTACGGGGTTGTTGTGATTGCCTCTGGCAAACGTGTGGTTTTAAGTGTATATCACTAAACAATCTTGACTGGAAGCACAGGGTTAGTACTTTTTTCAGACCACCTGGCAGGACTTTTGTGAAATCTCGGGTTATCTGGTGCTTCTTAAAACATTGTTTTTTCCCCCTTATTTATCATGGGAGACTTCCATTATGTATTCAATCTTTGAGTTACACACGTCAGTTCTATCTGGCCTTTTTTTCCCCCAGAATGTCATATTGTCTGTAATTTCAAAGATCGCAAAACTTGAGCCTGAAGTACCCCAGGGGCTCTGAGAGCATGTCCATAGAGTTCGTAGAAACGGAAACCAGCCGTGTGTAAGTTCAGTCTTGCACAGGGATCTGCTCTGGCAGCCTTTTACAGAGCATCGGTCGGCCTGAAAGTTAGCTTTTAGTATGTAATTTATAGTATCTAATTCTACTGTATAATTCTAATTGTGTGGAACTTTGGAGGTTCTTATAGTGAGAACTGCTTCACAATGGGACCAGTCAGAAAAAATGGGGTAGCATAGTGACACCTGCTGGTGGTTTTCATGTTAACAGGCAGGGGGCTCTTAGGTGCAGTACTTTTCTATGCATGAGAAAAATGACAAGATAGATGGTTGGAGAGAAATGATGATACATGAATAACCCATATTAAAAAATCATATGATCTAAATGACGGTGTCATTAATATGCAGTGATCCTTGCTTTATTTAACCGGGAACTGATGGGCTCGGTTTTCCAACTTCACTTAAGTGGTCTACTGGTCATCTACCAGGGTGTCTGCATCTGAGCCTGTATCAAGCGCAAAGCTAAGCTATCGTGTAAGACTGTGAGGTGTATCTGCCTCATTTCATCATGGCATTTTGTTACAGCTATATTATGTCTTATCAATGATGCATATGAACATGTCTGGGCTCTATATCTGTCCAGAGTTTACTTAAGTCATCTGGCAGCAGTGTTCTACTGGGTGCTGTTCTTACTGTTTTACAATGACATGAGCGCAGTGTTATCCTTCTGTACTGAACTGAAGCATGTGCTCTGAACAGATGATTCACATAGAGTTGGCACCACATGACCTTACTTTGCTTTAATATACAGTATTTTAAAAAATAATTCATTGAGGAACTGAGCAGCTCGAGATTCTAATCTACAGGTGTTTCTGCAAGATGACCAATTAAAAAGCAGATATGGTCAAACAGGTAATTTGGTGGCAGCAGGAAAGTTATATTGGTGACATTGTGTGACCTCCAATTTGCATAATTTACTCACAGCACAGTATGATAGGATCAAAACCTAAATCACAGACTGGGATGAGACTACAGTGAAATTTGTCACATCTGGAACACTTAGCACACAGAAAATTGGGAATTGCAACCAGTAGCTTAATCCTCTGTATGCTGAAGATGCATGTAGCAATGCACCCTTAAAATTGTTGTGGACGATTGTGGGTTCAAATCTTGTGGTGGGCACTGCTTTTATCTTCCAGCAAGCTAATGCGCTCTGCTTCAGTGAAATATCCGTGTGTATACATGGGTATAAATAGTTGGTTTTGGTAAAAGGGTCGGCCTAGTAATAAAGGGTATTTTTTTTTCCACAAATGCCCCATCGATATTTGCATCTGATTAAAATTCACATGCCCAGCCACAGTGAGTGAACACGTTTTGGACAATCGGTCCTTTTAGGAAGCGCACAAAAGGAACAAATGTGCCCTTGTGATTGGCACTGTGGTTCGTGAATGCCAGTGAGGACGAGAGCCCATGTTTGTTTGTTTTTTAAATACACAGCAGGTACCTCTCTCGAGGAACAGCAATATGTCCGACCAGAATTCGCACCGTGGGCTGCTGACTCTTCAGAGGAACGCGCCTGCTTCCACCCAGTGACATTATTTTAAATAGGGCCAATCGGTTTTCTCACATCTGCCGCGAATAATCGAAGAGGGTGCATTTTCTTTTTTTTTTTTATTTGGCCGCCCTGGAAATAAAAAAAAAAATCACATTCCAGGCATTCCGCGTCGACGCCTGACGTCACGCACAGGACCGACCACAGGAGATGAGGACGGCGCCGCTTCCTTGTTCGCCGGTGTACCTGGTCCTGCGGCTGAGCAGCGGAAAAATAAAGGGGTAAAAATAAAAAACACCACTCCGTTTCTGCAAGAAAACTGCGGTTCGTCGCCAGCCAATATACAGTATCTCGTCTGCCGTTACGGTAATTCCATAATAAGGTGCAACAGCCACATTTCCTCTGCTACGGACCCGGCGGCAGCATGCAATTGAGACACTAGGGTCTCTCTCGACTGTACACACACAGAAGCCGCTGCTCAATACTACAGCCGGCTGACGTGCTCAGGGACTTCGGCGCTCTGCTCCTTTTTTTTTTCCCTGTTCTGCCAGAGATTTTTTTTTTCCTTTTCTTTTTTTTTTTTGGACGAGTAGTCGTTGACTGCAGGAGGGAATTGCTGTAAATCTCGGCGGAGAGGACGAGAGAGACGAGTAGTGCCAGCGCACAGTACAGTACAGCACAGTGCGGGCTGGTGGCAGTACAGTGTGTGAGAGAGAGACAGGAGAAAAGACAAGACCAAGGGGGTTGGAAACGGAAAACGGAGGTAACGAGACAGGGCTGCTGCCCCCCGGTTTAGTGGAGCCCTTGAGCGCCAAGCTAGCCGGTGTCATTTTTTTTTCTCTCTCCCCCCGCCTCTCGGTCGTCTCTCTCCCCGCAGAACAACTCTCTTCTCTCCTCCCTCTTGCCCTGATTGTAAAATCTCACACGAGGTCACAGATTAGCCTCATCTGGAGGGTGAATTCGCTCGGAAAAGCGGATTTAACCGTAAGACTCATCACGCTCTTTTCCTTTACGGATTTTTTTTTTGAAAAAAAATTGTGTGTGTGTAAAGACGAAGCCTCCCTTTGGATTTACAAGCTTGCTTTTTTTTTTCCCTCCTCACACCCACTCTCCCTCCTCCTCTTCATTAATCCGGACAGCCAGCGCAAATGCAGAGCCCCGGCTCTCCCAGCTACCTGTGCGGGTAACCCGTGAGCCGCTCCGGCCTAGCTGCGCGACCGGAGGAGCCGAGCCGAGCCGAGCCGGCGGCGGCGGCTGGAAACATCGCCCGGTCCTAGCCGAGCCTGAAGCAGGCCCCGTATGCCGTTGTCACTGGGAGCCCTCTTTCCCATCACCTCGGACAGGTTGTGAAAGGGGAGAGGAAAAGACGGAGCCCCGGCACTCTCCGATTCGGGTGTTTTTTTTTCCCCTCTCTTCCTTGATGTCATATTTCCTCTGAATTGGCGAGCAAACATGATGCCGGTGAGTGATATAAAATGTATTCAGTGGTGATTAACTGAGATATACTGTCTATAGTCACTCGTTTATTGATATGAAGTGGAGAAAACCTTCGCCTGACAGCGTTCGGGCTTCATTTTCTTGGCTGAAGAAATATTTTTGAATTTGCATGTGGCTGCCTTGTTTTGCCTATGTGTATTTGTTCATCCCTGTCAAAACCATTCATTTTCGCTTGGAAGAAACTGTTTTTGTTCCATGTTTGTTTTTTTTTTTTTGAAGGTATGGCAGAAGTGAATGTCCAGGTAAAATGATCTGAAACGCACGGAGTAATGTGGATGAGCTTGTGGCTGGCACGGATTAAAACTTGTATTTGGAAAGTGACTCCTTCCCAAATGTATTTTTTTCCTGAAAATTAAAAAATCCTTCATTGGGTGGCACTGTGATACCGTAGCCTAAATACCGCCACTTAAAAGGCCGTCATATTTTTATAGCGTGTTTACAAAAACGCACTGAGGGGAAAAAATGTTTACTACAGACAGTCTGCCTGAGCTATAGGGGGAAAAAAAAAACAACAGTACAGGGAAACTGGTTGTTTTGCATTCAGTCAGATTTGCTTTGGCTAACTGTCCTTCGCTGCCTGAAGCGAGAGAGGGAGCACACTGGTTTTCAACTCTGGGCTTTCTTTACCTGTGTCCTGGGTGGGTTGATGGTGTTTAACAGTAGCTGTGCGAGAGTGTGCCTTAATGACAAGACCCCGAGGATCTCCGGGTGAGCTGTCTCTGGTGAATAGTGTGAATAGTGTGAAAATGGCCAGCGCCAACGAGGTGTCCCTGTGTCGAAAAGGGAGCCCCGTCCTGACACTACGGCCCAGCGCAGAAGGTGTAACCACGTAACTGTACACTTCCCATCCCATCCCACTCCTAATCAAACATTTTCAACGCCACCGGCAGCGAGGGTGTGATGGACCCGGTGCCCGACCCACGGAAACGGATTGCGGGTGTTG